TTCAACCGCCCCCCCCCCCCCCTGTCCCCACAGTGGAGCCAACACCACCGAAGAAGAAGCCCCCCCCGGCCCCCGCCCAGAAGAAGAAGAAGCAGAAGCAGAAAATGGCCGCCGACGTGGAGATGGCCGACGTGGACTGACCCGCCTACGGAGGCCCGGGGGGGCCAAAACCAGAGACCAGACCAGAGGGGGGTCCCGGGTCTGGTCCAGGACCAGGAACCGGGTCCTGGACCCGCTCGGACCCCCAGCTGTGGCCACGGAGGTCCCTGAAGGCACCATCGGACTGGGGAGGCCTCTGATTGGCTCATTAAACGCTGCTTCCTCCCACTTCCTGTTTGGCTTAAATGGGTCAGAACGAGTCCTGGTTTAGCCGGAAACCAGGTCCCAGATCGGGGGTTCGGGGGGTTCTGACTTCTGGGGGATTCTCTGGATTATTTTTTGTATTTTAAATAAAATCTGAGTTTGAGTTTGAGTTCAGGGGTGCAGAGTTCCTCTAAAAGGGTTTTGAAAAGCTGGACCCCCCTCTGGAGTCTGGCAGTGGTTCGGTCCGCCTGACACCCCCTCCTGATGCGTTCAGGTCACCTGGGAAAGGCCAGCTTTCACCCAATCTGGGTCATTAGAGCTGAGAGACCTGGACCAGTTTTAGAGGAGACCCAGATCCACAGGGTCCAGTTCTAGAGGAGACCCAGAACCACAGGGTCCAGTTCTAGAGGGGACCCAGAACCACAGGGTCCAGTTCTAGAGGAGACCAGAACCAAAGGTTCCAGTTCTAGAGGAGACCCAAATCCAAGAGACCGGGTCCAGTTCTGGAGGAGACCCAGAGCTACAGGGTCCAGTTTTACTGAAGACCCAGAGACCGGGTCCAGTTCTAGAGGAGACCCAGATCCACAGAGACCTGGGTCCAGTTCTAGAGGAGACCCAGATCCACAGGGTCCAGGTCTACTGAAGACCCAGAGACCGGGTCCAGTTCTAGAGGAGACCCAGACCCACAGAGACCGGGTCCAGCTGCAGTTTCTGGTTAAACCTGAACCACTTAGCGGCGGCTGATTGTCCCACAGCCATTGAACGCACCATCAAGAACCGGCTTTTAGGGGTTTAGACTAAATAAGATTTATTTAGGGGGTTTTATTCTGTTTCTGAGCCCAGATGGAGGTTTTGGTCTCCTTTTTGGGGGCTAAATGTGAGACAGAGTCCGGTTTTTCCGCCTGCCCCCCAAAGCTGCA